GACATCAGATTGATCTAATTTCTGTGCACTGAGGACAAGCAAGTCCTAGGTTACAAACTGAACTCTCCAATGCAAGAACGAGATGCATTTCTTTCTTTAGGAGGTGCTATTGTCACAAGAAAAGAAAAAGGTTTCAGTTTTGTTTTTGCATCTGGGTGGGTATTCTGTTTGTAATCATTGTTTGGATACACTATATTTTTAATATGCTAGTTGTGATAATTTCATGCCAAGTAAAAATGTCCATAGTCATATTTTATGTTCCTAAAGTAACAGAATGACTTTCAATCTAGAAAAGACAAAAGAAAATTTTGTTTGTCCGTGGAAAAAAACGGGAAAAAACAAGGTTTTTTATGAGCTTCAAAATTTCCGGAAATTTTACATCTCTAAATCTAACTCTCTACAAATAAAGTTTTTAAAAAACAAAGGGGGAAAAACCCCCCCTACAGAGCGACTTCCAACAGGGAACTTTTCAAACTGTTCATACTTGCTGTAAAGAACTTCATCTCTTCTCCTGGTGCATACGTCACACTCACCCGCCAGGGCTCCGAAGTCATCTACGACGGCTTCCACCAGCCCCAAGACGTAGAGGGCGCTGCCGCAAACGTTGGCCAAGAAGAACATGATCCCGATGCTGCCCCCGAACTCAGGGCCCAGTGCCCGGCTGATCATGTCTGTGCCAGGGAGGGTCAAGGAGATGCAAATGCCATGGTGCAAGATGAGAAGGAACGCCACTACCCCGCAAGGCGGAGAAGGAGAGAGCCCATGCTGTTCCACCACGGCCACCTTCCAGTTTCTGGGAGATCAGGAGGGTAGGTGGGGTGGCTGGCAACAGTTCCAAGAAGACGCAAGGCTTTGGCTCAGAGATGGGGTTGCCAGCAGTGTTCCCTCTAAGCTGAGTGAGTGTGAGCCAGCTCACAGTTTTTTAGCCTCCAGCGCACACATTTTTGTCTTGGCTCAGGAAGGAGGGCTCCAGAGCAAACTCATTTATGCAGCAGCCAAATTGCCAGTAGCTCAGAAAGTAGAATTTTTGCTCACGAGACTCCACAGCTTAGAGAAAGCGTTGGTTGCCGGGCCCTCCCCGACCACCAGTAGTGGGGTTGGGTTGCCAGCTCCAAGGTGGGGCCGTCCTGGAGATTTGGGGTGGAGCCTGGGGAGAACAGAAACCTCAGTGGGGTACAATGCCACAGAACCCACCCTCCATAGTCTGGAAATGAGCTGTAATTCCAGGAGATCCCCAGGTCCCACCTGGAGGCTGGAATCCCTATTCAGAGGGGCAGGGAGGGCAGAAATGAGAGGGGGGACGGCCGAGCATGCAGGGTGGGAGCGCATGCATCCCAGAAGTGTATGATTGGCAGCTCAGTGCTTGAGCAGATGGTACTGAGTACCAGCACCAGTCTGGTATAGTGGTTAAGTGCATGGACTCTAATCTGGGAGAACTGGGTTTGATTCAGCCACTCCTCTATATGCAGCTGCTGGTGTGACCTTGGGTCAGTTACAAGTTCCCTCAGAGCTGTTCTAACCTGAGCAGTCCTCGAAAGAGCTCTCTCCGCCCCACCTACCTCACAGGGTGTCTGTTGTGGGGAGGGGAAGGGAAAGGAGTTTGTAAGCCGCTCTGAGACTCCGAATGAAGGGCGAGGTATAAATCTAATCTCCTCTTCTTCTTGATGGCTATCCCAAATCTTCAGTG